TCCCAGTAAAATTCCAGAAGTGCAGGACAGCCATCTGAATCTTGACAAGCCAGAAGTAGCTTCTGGAACACTATGCATTAGAGAAATTAAGGTAAAGAGAAGTTAAGATTAAGAAAGCCATAACAAGGCAAAACTGAGGACTCATTTGTAGTCCTACACAGACAGCTGTCACAAATAAGGCTTTTTAGACCAGCACTCCACTTGTCTGTGATAAGAGCATACCTACTCCAGAACTGAACTACTAAAGAACCACCTAGGTTCCCAAAAATAGTTCAGCACTTGAATAATGTAGTACCTAGTTTCTACTTAGATAAATACAGAAAGATCAACTGCAAAAAAGGAAAATGAGATGTAACTGTTTAACAGGATTGTGAAGAAAAGAAATGAGCATTTTGTGAAATCAGGAATAAAATACTTCTAGCAAAATGTCAGGAAAGACAACTTCGTAGTCTTTCAGTACAAGCAGGACGCAAGTTTAAATGCAAGACAGACCAAAACTTGAATTAATTAATAAAATTTCAATTTTTATTTTGACTAGTCATAAGCTACACAGAAGTACTCAGACAATAAAACTCCACTGAAACTGGACAGCAATCTACACTTTCAGCTTTTGACAGCTTTTCTTTCAACACATTTTGCATTAAGGAGATCAAATGTGGCCAGCACAACCACAAGTTTAGGTTTTTTTGTTTAGGGTTGGGGAGCAGGGAGGGGTGGAACAAGATAACAGGGAGTATTTTAAAGTATTTGAAGGAAAGGAGAAATAGCATTTTCAGCTTTTTCAAATGTACAAGATACGATCCTGTATCATCCCACCTCCATCATACTGATTGTCCCTCCTGAAACAAAGGATCATTCACGTGTAGTTCAACTCTGCTTCAGCAGCAAACGCACGCATCATTAAGTGACAACACACTTCCGCTGTCTCTCAGGTTTCCACTAATTACTATCAGACAACCAGCTAGATTCTGCCCAAGAATTAAAATCTTTCCCTTCCACTGTTACAAAAACTTTTCAATTAAGTTTAGCAAGCAAAATGCCCACAAAAGGCACCACATGACATCTATTAGATGGCTGCCCTGTCAGGAAAACCTAACCATTTTGAAAGCACTCATCTTGTAATCATTCTGCTTAATCCCAGAAAAACACTTTACCTCCTCACCTTCAAATCAGAAAGAGATCAAAGGGGGATTTAAAAAAAATGTAGTTAAGACTAAAAACATTTGATGACAGCTTGACAGCTCTGAACATTCACCCAGAAAACATGAATTATGCAATTTGTCCGATATCATCACCTGTAATTTTGTATCCATATGCAGCCAGCTGTCCAGCCATATATTCACCATCTGAATTATTGTGAGAACATCCCCACGTACGAATCCAGATTTTCTGAGCACCAGGTATAATACTGTTAAGTAAAAAAATGAATGAAAAAGGCAAGTTAAAAGATGAACAAGATTCCCCTTCAAGCCCACTGAACAGACTCAATTAATTGTAATTCTCTAAATCTAAAATAAACAACACAAAGAGTAACAACTCCAAAACAGCTAGGGAAGAACGTCTTGATTACCTGATTTTAGTGTAGTGGGTATTAGGTCTGGCTGGCATGGAGTTAGCTTTCTCCACAGAAACCCACGCGGTGCTGCGTTTTGCATTTGTGACTAAACCAGTGTTGGTAACACACCTGTGTTGCAGCTATTGCTGAACAGTGCTTCCACAGCACCAAAACCTTCTCACTGTGCTCTATCCCGCCACAAGCAGGCTGGAGATGGACAACAGGTTGGGAAGCAACACAGCCAGAACAGCTGACCCAAACTGACCAAAAGGATAGCCCATACCAAATGACACCATGCTCAGCAATAAAAACTGGGGGTTTGATCTTTCCAAACTAGCCATTGGCCTGAGACTGGTTGGGCATCAGTCTGCTTGTGGGAGGTGGCAAGTAATTGCTTTTGCAATTTTTCCTACTGTTTCCTTCACTTAAACTGTCTTTATCTAAACGACAAGTTTTCTTGCTTTTGCTCTTCCAATTCTCTCCCCCAACCTCCTGGAAGGAGGGGTGAGCAAGTGGCTGGGTGGCTGCTCAGTTGTTGGCCAGGGTCAGTCCACCATAAGTGGTAAGAAAAGTTTTAGAATGGAGAAGGTACAAGAGCTGGAGGATAAGAGATTCAGTACTCTGCAGTTACATTAAAGAAAAAAACAAAACACCAAAACACCAACTTTCTGAAAATTATCACATCATTTAACAAGCGACCTTCAAGTGACTGTACTGAAATTAGGCCACCCACCAACAAACTGTCAGAGCTGAACTGCAACCTTTTGATACTATGGCACCCATTGATTGTAGCTCCCCCCATAAAAGCCATCTTTATAAATTCTTAACTTAAGCCTGCCACCAGCCACACTAACACCTGAAAGCTCAAGCTCATATTCTGACCTTTCTGGGCTACAGAAGCAGCATGGTAGATCTGCACCACGGAGCACAATGGTTTAAGAACCAACAAAAAATTCTGCAAGAAACTCTCATTGAAACTCCTGGGATAACTGTGCCAATGAGCTAAAGATGCCAGTACAGTAACGACACACATCCTGCAACACAATCCTTTGCCCTTCCCACATCTTTTTTTCCTCTGCCCCTCACACTGCTTTTTTTAAACATACTACTCCTAGGCAGAAATAGAAATTTGTTGATGGAAGATTAATGATCATTAAGTAGACACGTGCAACACATTTGCATGTGTACAATGTGTTTAGGCTGTCTAAACAACATAGATTCAATGTGCTTTCTTGGGTCAAAACCACTAAAATACAGCCTGTTAGATAATATATAGTACCTGAATACTCAGGAGAATGGACCGCTCGTGTTAAGTATCTATAGACCATCAGTTCAGCTGTACACACGCTCCTGGCAGAATAGGGGCTTCACATAAAGGTGCATTGTTAAGCTTATAAAATCTCTTTTGAACACTAATTAAAAAACAGAACTAAAATTCCTGTGCATTCTAGACGTATTTTATTTTCATCTTTATAATGTGAGGAAATTTCATCCACCAGCTTGAAACTGATGGGGAATTTATGGGTGGGAAGGGGGAGGGAAGGAACCAAAATCCAGATCTCTGAACTGCAGTAGAAACTATAATCAATAACCAAGTTCACCTATACTTTAATTAATTCCATTGCAGCAGAAAGTTGATTCTCTTCTGATGGAAATCACAAGAAGGAAAAATGTAAAGATACATTCCATAGTTATTGCATACTATTTCCACTGAAATAAAACATTAAGTTCAAAAGGAGTTTCGCTATATCACTATATATATATATATATATATACAAGAAGTACAGCCTTCAGAAATCCCAGGTTCCAGAAACCAGGTGAAAAGACTGAGGTAAGGAAGATGTACCCTTGGTGAAAGGGGGTCAGGTCAGGGAATACTTCAGCAAACTGGACATACCTAAGTCCTTAGGCCCTGATGGGATGCACCCACAAGAGAGAGACGGACGTACTGAAGACAGTCCAGCAATGGACCATGAAGATGATTAAAGGACTGGAGCATCTCTTGTAAGAGGAGAGGCTGAGAGAGCTGGGACTGTTCAGTCTGGAGAAGAGAAGGCTCAGGAGGACCTTATCAATGTATGTAAATCCCTGAAAGGTGGGTGCAAAGACAGAGCCAGGCTCTTTTCAGTGGCACCCAGTGACAGGACCAGAGGCAATGGGCACAAACTGAATCACAGGAGGATCCCTCTGAACATCAGGAAACACTTTTTCACTGTGAGGGACTGAGCACTGGCACGGGTTGCCCAGAGAGGTTGTGGAGTCTTCCTCTTTAGAGATATTTATCAAAAGGGTACTCCAGGACTGCATTTTGAAGAGCTTAGCTTCTATTTAGGTCATTAAGGTGAAGCAGACAATTTTTCAGAAATGTTTTATGCATAAAAGCTTAAGTAACAAGAACCATTTTTCCAGTTTGATTACTCCATTGATCACTATCTCAGTCACAACTGATTTCTACAGAAAGTTTGTCTAGGACAATAAATTTGCTTAGGATTTAGTATTCATTTATCACTACACTTTATAAACACTAGTTTACTCATTTTTACCTTCTATTTGGATTTTACATTATGAGATAAAGAGAATTCCCACCATGTTTTTAGAAGCCGACAGCGCATACAAGATATGAGAAAAGCTACAAGATAGGGTTGATGAAGAATTTACCTGTCACTCGGGGGATCATCATCTGTCTGATTACTTTTTTGTGAATTGCGTTTTCGCACTTTTGGATAAACATTCTTTCTTACAAACTGCCGGTCATGTGGTTTCAAATCTTCTGCTGACACAATGTCTTCAATATCTTCCAGCACTGAATCACAGGCAGCAGGCATCTTCAAGAAGCATTAGAGAAGACTAGTATTAGCGAGCGTTTGAATACAAAACCAAGGCCTAGTATCTACTACATACATTCTCATAAAGAAAAGTTAGATATATTTCTACATATACCTGCAATGTATCATACATATGAGGGATACTGAGCACACAAAAACAATGAACTATACAGAGATATTTCCTCATGCCCCCTTCCCCTGAGATCTCAAACACAGGCAGGGAGAAAGTCACAAACCATACAGGTTTTTTTAGTTTTTTTTAATTATCTGTACCTTGCCATCTTCCAATTCAAAAACCCTGCAGCTCCTCTGACATGACAAATCCAAGATGCAAGTATTCTTAATCATGTCAGGCACCATAGTGAAATAATGAGTTCATGTTATGTGATAGATATGCTTCCACTCATGTCACAGGAGAAGAATGAAAGATACTGCATTCAAGTGCCTGCTGCAGAGGCTGTTCTGGCTCTTTTATTTGTGTGCTGAAAACAGGTGCACAGAATTTCAATATGTCTTCATAGTCCTTTTGAAAACAAACCAAACTATTCCCAGAATTCCTGATCCCACAGGCCTTTCATTTTAACTACTTCATTCATTGCGACAGCAAAATAAAAATTCTTGTCCTCAGTACGAGATGGTAAACAACTATACCTAGCTAATATAAGATAGCTAGATTATCATCTGGCTCATATAACACACCAGAAGATCATTAAAATCTAATTATATTTTCCATAAGTAAATATATATATGCATATATCTCCCCCAGCAGCTCTCAAGATCCAGATCAGTCATCAGGAAAGGGGGGGGGGGGGGGGGGGGAGGGGGGGGAAAGATATTTGCTAAAGGAACCTATAAAAAAAAAGGTACTGCATTTATTACATGATTCACACTGTGCTGTGTGTAATTCTTAATCAGAATAAAGTCTGATGTACCACTGGAAACTTGGTTTCGTACACATCTCAACAGTTTACTAAGGAACTCACACAAGGGCATTTCACAGAGTTTACAGGGAAAACACCACACTTTCCTAACTGACAGCTAAGAACAAAACAAAGAAGGCTTTAATTTCTTTAAAACTAGATTTCAGGAACAGAAAATTCAGGCTACCGGCGTACAAAATACTTTCAGATGTTGCATTGAATTATTCAAGAACATAAGAAGTTAAACACCCATGCATTTTCCCAGTACGAGTCCTTCAGTCAATGTTGCAAAATATGCTTCAAAATAAAACTCCATACAACCTGAACCATTATACATCTGCATTTAACTTAAAAAGGAATATAACAATGTCACAAAGAGGATGCACCTGACAAAGATATTTAAGCATTCAGCATTCTTGTAGATGAAAAATCCCAGGATCTAAAAACTCCAGCAAAAGATGAGCAAAAATAAAAAGCTGTGAAAAGTCCAGCAATAAAGCATATTGGGCGAGAGGTGACATCCCTTACACTACTTTATAGCACTAACAGCATGTACAAATAGATAATCAGTTCAATGCAGGGACGGAAAGAAAGGTTTTGATTTGTTATTTTTCTCTCTTCCAGAAAAATATTTGCTATAATGGAGCAGATGGCAAAACAAATAAACTTAGTTTATTTCAGTGGCCCACAAAAGAATACAGCCAAAATAAAATTCATACCTTTTTAAGTAAGTCTAAATCTTCTTGGATAATAATTCTGGGGGGGGGGGAAGAAAAAGAGACATGGCATGAACAAGCAAAACAAGCAGACAGAAAACCATGAGTTCATATTATCATCCAACAAGCATTAGTCCTTCCTTTGCAGAAACATGTTTCTTGCTCAGTCGGGGTACACATGCTGACTGGCTGACAAGGTGGAAGAGTAACCACATTTTCCCTGTCCTTCCCTGAGCAGAGGCACTAATCTTTTTGTTTTTCTTTTATAGAGTCTTTTTTGTCAAAGTCTGATGTATTTAAGTTCTTTCACACTGCCTCCAGATTTCTGTCTTCAATCAGGAGTTTAAAATTTTGAATGAAAAGGAAAGAGATTAACAGTAAATTTTAGCTAAAAACATTCACACCTTTTTTTTTAATTACAACATAGTAAATTTTTTTTAGAACAGATTACTTGATATCTGCGCTAGTTCCATATGCATGCATGAGATCTCTTCTTCACAAACAAATAAATAAAGATTCCTGCAGATACTGACAGATCGACTGAAATAAGAGTCAATAATAAAATTAGAAGTTAACATATTCTTCTTATACTGTCAAATTGTACCTACAGAACTTTACATTTCACTTTAAAAAAAACAAATGAACGTTAGTAAATAAAAACCAATAAAAGTGTCTTTAATGCCTTGACACAAACAAAACTTCCCTTGCCCCAGTCTATTTCAGTCACCCCTCTTTGATCCTCTTGCGCATACCAAGAGAGTTCTTCTTTCCACACGGAAAACTTCCATACAGGTGGAAGAAGACTGCTCTTTCCTCTGTTTACCAACAGGTGTCTCCGCTAAAGCCCCAGGCTTTTATCCCCAGGCTTACACAGAGCAGAAGGAAAGTGCAGCGTTAATATAAAATAAGACGGACCCGCCGCCCGGTCTGCCTCACTTCAGGGCCCCAGGGCAAGCTTGTTCCATCCCCGCGGGCAAGCGGCGGCCTGGCGCGCCTCCGCCCGACCCGGCTCGGAGCACAGATTCCCCGGAGCCCGGCTGGGCTCAGCCTCAAACCGGCCGTCCATCGCGCGGAGAGCACCCGACCCCCGAGCAGCAACCCGACCGCCAAAACCTCCGGAGGTTCCCGCCAGAGAGCCCATCTCCCCCTCCCGGCTCTAACGCGGAGCCCGGGG